AGGGAGAACGGGCAAAGAGGTAAATTATTACCCTCCCCTCCCCAAGAGGGGACAGGCAATTGAGCGGCTTCCAGGCCGGCCTGGGAGACATACCCAGGGTCGGGGGTTGTCTTGTGCCCTTCCTGGCCCGGCAAACAAAGCTGAGTGACTTCAGAGAGACCGGGTTCTTTAACCCGTGTGTTCAGAAAGCATCCATCTTCCTGTGGGGCTGAAACCCACATCCCAGAAGGCAGGAGGGCAGAGGAATAACCTTACATTTAGTGCCAGCGGCTGAACCCTACCTGGCCTCCGGGCCTGAATAGAGGGATCACAACTTTATTTGCTGAAAAGAACGCCGACTGTCCATCCCATTCACGAGGAGGTGCAGCCCACAGCTCATTTGTTTAAAACGACTTCAGCCCAGAGAAGGCGGGGATTGCACAGCAATGCCTGAGATGGCAGCGATGACAGACGCTCATTTTCCGCCTGCAGAGTAACTTACTTTGGGAAGAGCTCGCTTTTATCCTCGGGGGAGGAAACGGACGCACTGCGCTCTGATGCTCTTAAATCCTTGCAGTGATGATACCAGCACGGTGTCTTCCAAACGGGCCTCTGTGCTCAGGCTCATAGCTTAGTGCCAGCGTCTGGGGATCCTGAAGCTTCTCGCGCGTTTCCACAGCAGGGAAGTGTTCCGAATACAGGTTATATTTGAACTGATCCCTGAAGATGCACTGAGTTTTCTGTTCCTTGTCCATCGGCACTGCAAGCTCACAGAGCTGGTTTTCGCTTTGCAGTTCATTGGGAGGATTACATTCAGGGTGAACCTCGCCCGCCTCCCATCCTGTGGCTGCGTTATTTGGCAAACGCCCCGTGGAGCCTCCACTCTCCAGGGTCCAGGCTTGGGGCTGGACCAGTGCCATGGTGCTCAGCAGTCTGGTGAGGAAGCTGCAGGTCGCCACGGCCACAGCACCACAGCTTCCCCTGCCTCGAAAATCACCTCCAGTCCTGCCTCCCTCCCTCCCTCCTGTGTCCTCAGCCCGAGAGGGACCATCACACGGGAGCTGGGCTCACGGGACACCGAGCCTATGGCCTCGTGGCCCTGGTGTCTCTGTGGATGGAGGGTGGGGCGAGGCCCCATGGGCAGGCAACTTCTCTGGGAGGGAGAGCTGCCTGCAGGAGGTGGTCACAGGTCACCCCGGACACAGCTCCTGCGCTGGCCTCTGGCCTCCAGCCTCCGCCCTGGGTGTGTGCAGCCTCCTCTGTCTTGGCCTTAAATAGACGTTTTTAAGAATCAGAGCCGACTGTCGTGGATACGATTGCATTGAGTCTGCCATGTACAGTTTAGAATTATGCCGTGGCTGGCTGACCCGGATGCAAACGGGCATGAATGACAGTGGATGCTCCCAGCTGAGCCCTAGATAACGGGGACTCGGTCGGGCTGGGCTTTGTGTCAGGTTCTCTCCCTCGGGGTCTGATGGGCAGTAAATCCAGATACTCATGTTTCTATCAGCAACGGCTTGAATTCGTCTAAGGCTGCAAACTTCACTGACTTCCTTGCGGTTGCTGTTTGATGATGACGGCTGTGACGATAGGGGCTGCTCCTGGCCTTGGAGGGTCGTGGGGCGAGGTTGTGTGCGGTTCACGGAGCAGGGGGCGGGGCTCGACCCAGGATTCGGACACGGAGGGAAACGGGTGCTGCTTCGTGGCGGGGGTAGCCTGTGCTTCTGCGCGTATTTCCTGAGCCTTATCCCCGCCAGCTTCACTCACATGTAAGTTAGGCCGACTTGAGTCTGCACAGCCTTGTCCTGCCGTCCTGGGAGCCCTCTGGGCTCAGAGCAGAAGGGGAACCAGCTCGCAGGTGGCAGCGCCCGGGGACGCGGAGCCCAGCGCGAGCCCAGCAGCGGCCCTGGTGTGAGCTGAGGCTGAGGG